CGAAAACAGCGAGTATTGTTGGTTTGCTATACAAAATAGAGCTGTTTTTAGAAAAGTCTAAAATTTTTTATGCCTTGGCTATAACAAACTTCAACACTGTAACTACCTCTTACTGTAAAAACTTGCAAAACCAACTACAATATCCAATTTAAGCTGTTATGCAAGGCCACTACCGCCCAAATTAGAGACCGTCGAGAGTCTTGAAGATCGCCGAAAAGAATTTTAGGATTACATGCAAATCACAAAAGTGGGAACGCCGCCCGCCATTATTAACTTGATATAGGATGAGCAGCTGCGACTTTGCGCAACTCGCACCCCAACTTCGAGGTTAATACGTTTCAACTTGGCCAACTTGACAGACAATAAAGAAGCTTTGATGAAAGTGGCTTTTGGAATACTGTAACGAATAATGAAAGTGGCTTATTGGTGGGGGGGTACTGTACCATTTTTATACAAAAATTTATAATAAAAGCCCCTTATTGAGCTACTGTAACATTTTTGTACAAAAATGAAGGCTTTCAGGATAATGACTTATGATATAAAAAAACAGTTCTACATTGCTTACATTGTCAGTATAATTTACCCTTTAGTATTAGAAAACTCAAAAAATTAAATTACTGTAAACCATAGATCAGTAACCCTAAAAATCAACCCTACAGTAACTTTATAAAAAAGTAAAGCACAGTACCTTAAAATTATTCAAAAAAAATATTTTTTTCGTAAATCAATTCCAAAACCACGTAAAAGTAAAAAACGAATTGTCGCAAAACAAAAAGAGTCTGGCCACTGACCACCAGTCTTATATTATGTCAAACAAGCTGAGTCCACAAAAAACAGAATCCGAATAAAACAAAGAAAAAAGACAAAAAGTAGTTTTCACTTTTATAATTTATTTGCTCATCCAACTTCAAATACAATATTTTTAAAATTTACGAAAATTACTTGTGTAGCGTCTACTTTCGGGTATGATATCATAGTTATTCGTGGCTTTATTTGGTAAACGTAAACTAGAATATTAAGAATCTCTTATTTATTGAAAAAGCTTAATACTAAAGTCTATGAACTTTGGTTTTAATGTTTTTAGGCCCGCCTCTTAGCCGAGCCAATAGAAAACGCCTACACTTTATGTGAACTTGTCTAAATTATAACTCGCGAAATATTTTTAAAAATGAAACTTTAATATTTTTTAATAAAACGTATTTTAAAATGTATTTATTGTTTCACCGGACTTTACATTAGCCATCTGTTGTGCCACAATATAAAAGACCTTAAGAAACAGTCAGTCAGCAGATGTTTACAAACTTGTCCATTTTGTCGGTCATTAAATCCCATTTTTAGTCATATAACGACGCAGCCGCACACACAAGGTTACTGTAATTATTGCGCGCTGTTTTTTTTTCGAAAGTCGCAGTAAAAAGTAAAGAAAAATGAAGGGTTTGGCGGTAAAAGTAATCGAACTCGATTAGGCATAAAGTTGGGATTGGGGGCGGAAGAACTTCAAAAAACCGTGGTTTTGGGTTGTAATTGAGTAGTAATTATACTGTAAACAATAAGTTACTGTATTTTTTCAGAATTTTATATGGGATAAAAATATGCTGAAATTACAGTAAAAAATGTTAAAATACAGTAAAAGAATGATGGATAGATAAGCTGGTTTTAAAAAAGAATTTTTTTTAAACATATGGTAGCAAATTTTGAGTTGATGGCAGTAAACATTACTATCATATTGCACTTTCACTTTCCAGCCAATCAGTCTGTTTGCATTAGCCTAGTCTAGCCTCATGACCGGCCGAAGAATTTTAAAAATTTAAATAAGGAGTTAGATAAAAACGAACGTCAAAGAAAAGTTATTAGTAAATTGAACGGAAACAAACATTGATAAAGCCACTACTACTTATATTAACTTTACAAGTAACTTTTTTTAATGCTCCAGAAGTGGCAGGCTTAAAATAGAAATTTGATGGCAATTTGAGTTACTGTAAAGTCAAATATTGAAAAACTCTAGTACTGTACACATTTTTAAACAACATATTTTATAAAGTTACAGTAAGCCGAAAGACTCACAATAACCTCAAATTATGCCAAAAATGAAAAAAATTTTATTAAAACTATAGTAATACAGAAAAATTACTTTAACTTGCACACAAAATGATAAATGTGAAGGTTTAAAATACAGTAGTACTGAAAAATTCGAAAATTTCAAAAAAAGTAAGAGTAATTACAGTATTCGAATAATTGTGTGGAAAAAGCGCAAAATTTGGCACGGCACGACTTGTAATTAAATATTCGGACGGCACTTCTTCATCTTCTAATTTGAATACCGGAACCGATTTATGGGCTGTGAATTGGAGGCCCACCTCGAATTCGAATAAAGAGAAGAATGGAACGATCAAACACACACTTGGAAAGTGAAGGAACGGTACGGTAGAGCTATTTTATAATAAAAAATATTATTCCTGCCTTTTGAAGTTCAGTTAAAATATTTTTTGAAAAATATTAATTAAATAAATTATATAAATAAATAAATAAACAAAATACAAAAACAATTCAAACTGACAGTATTAAAATACTGCCACGAACATCTATAGTCAATGACATTTTAAAAAAACATAATGAAGGGAGTGAGTCGCTCATCGCGTGAATAAGACATTTGAATATGAAGAACATACTTTTGAATCAGAGTTTGCATATCATCAACTATATTTACATATACTAGAAAATTTAATATATGGCATGTCTAGAAGTACAAAACTTAATACTAAGTTTACATTTACCTATAAAATACGCAAGCACACCATAGTAATTTGAGTTGTACCAGTAGCGTTGTTTGGAAGACAATCCTTGATACAAAACTCCTTCTACAAGCAACAAAACAATTGGCCTTGTTAGAGAAATAGCATCAAATTTTTAAAATCAAAATTAAAAAATTGTAAAATTTAGAGAAGCCTATTATTCAAAAGTGCTTCGACTATGCAATTATATAAGTCCGAAGTCCAATATCGTAAAACTTTGAAAAGGCAGATAAATCAAGAGGCCTCGAGCCGATATCGGAGATACCACATTACCTAAAGTAAAAAATTATGTGCCTTAAGCATTGCGAGTTGATACAGATACATATATTTCTGCCGATTGGAAAAAATATAAATACGCGGTAAATTTACATATTCTTCATTAAGTTCGACATCATCAAACTTGTAAGTTAATAATTTTTTCTCTTATATTTTACTTAAAAATTAAATTGAAAGACTGTATTTTTCAAGTGAGTATCTTAAATAATTTGAGTTTTATTTATAATAAAAAGTTTTTATCATTTTTTTAATTTTAAAAAATAATGTGTGCATTAACAATAACATCATTATTTAATTCAGGTACCCTTCTATCTTTAAAGTTTTACTTTAACAACAAAAAATGAACGCCAACAACGCCGTGTTTTTTCAACAACAGTTCCAACACACAATGGCCCAACTAGCCAATACAGCCGTCGATCCAGCCTACGAACGCTTCTGTAGCCGCCAAACGTACCCATCGTATTGCCCTGGGTTTACATGCAGTCCTGTTGTGTACTGCGGTAAACAAAGAAGACGTACCAAAGTTGCCTCCCGGCCTTACAAAACACGCCCAGTTAAAAAATGGAAGATTTCCTACTCCAACCGGTCAAAATCATCATCTGAAAACTATTCAAGGGCTAGTACTCCAGAATCGGTTCGGTCTAGACTACAACACCCACTCATGCCCCACACCAACATAGATGCCATTCCTTTCTACCCAAAAGTCTTTTTGGGTGAGAGCGAAAGGTGGAATTTGCACCTCAAGGAATAAACAACAATGATAATAACCCTTAAAACAACAAAAACACCTATGAATTTATAATCTGATTTATAATAACGTTTTGATTGTATTTAACATCGTATAAAATAATAAATAATATGAAAAGTTATTTGCACAATCATTTTAAGAGCAGTATTATTGAATCGGGACTAGGGTAGAGCGCGCAGCTCGCAATTGTTTCGGGCGCAGCGTTGCCTAGGATTTATCTTCGTTTCGAAGACTTGTTTTGTTCGTCGATCGTTCTGTTCCTTTTTCATAGAAGGTCTTGTTTGAAAGACGGTAAAATAAGTGGTACATACTGTAATATTCACAGTTCATTCCCTTAATTTTACAAAATACTGTTCTTCTTCGATAATTTGGTTTTTGTTCGGTTAATATAAGGTTTATGCTGTTAAATGGCGCGAAATAATGGTTTTGGATTCGTATAGCATGTTCATTATGATCAAATTGTATATTCGCTACGTTTCAGAGTTAAGACAATATTTTCGAAAAGAGTCATGGCTGGAAGAACGTTTATCACGCTGCATTTTTGTAGAACTGACGGAAGCCGGTAAGACATGACAGCTATCAGGTCGAATAAGTTTTCATACGATTATTACGAACTAGGACAATATGCAATAGATGTAAGTCTTACTTTTTGTTTTGTTTCTTCCGTTTCTAGGTTAGTTTGGAGAAATGTTTCTAACGTTATCATGGATAATATAGTTTCTTTTAAACCTTATGCTTTTTGCATAGAAAATGTAAATGATTTTTTTATAATAATCTGTTCAGGATCATGGGAAATGTTTTGAACCACGAAAGACGGCCTGGAGAGCACAGTGAAGTTTACGATGGATTGCTGGAATCATATTGGTATGATAGATGGCTAACGATTGTCAAGGTGATTCTATAAGTAATGTAAGTCGGTTCTATGGTTAATTGTGTGCCTAGTAAGGAGTTGAAACTAAAATGAGTTTTTTCTAAACATAGAATTTGCTTTTTTCGTGTAATTGAGAGTTCAGGTTCTTTTCTTTTGATAACGTTCACTATTACTTATCTTGGGATTCGTTTAAGAGCACGATAGAAAAGAAATTTGCATATTAAAATTTAAAGAAACGTTTAAAAACAAGTTGTAGTTTGCATTCTTTCTGTTTCATTCACAATTTTTCAATTTTGTTTCAGCGGTCGGTGAAATGCCGACAAAGAGCGCCGAGACCGACGAAGGACCAGTCGATTTGCCGGTGGGAAAAGTTGTTGGTAAGAGATTTGTTATACATCAAAAGTGCGGCGAAGGAGGCTGTGGAGCTGTTTATAAGGTAAGGTTTTGTGATTTTTAAAATTTTTTGGAAAACCTTTATTTCTTTTACAAATGCATTAAAAGCTGTAATTTAGCATAAAACTGATCAATTATTAATGTTTGCTTAGTGCAAATGAGAATAATTTGAAATTATTGAGTATTGCTTTATCCAAAAGTTCAATTTTTCCAAATATATTGTTATAGGCGGAAGATCTGCAGAAAAAGAACAGGTTTTATGCCCTAAAGGCCGAGTCCAATACAGCCGCTGGTGGTGCTGTTTTAAAACTAGAAGTAGCGATTCTGTCAAGGCTAAAAGGCAAAAAACACTTTGCCGACATGATTTATGCTGGTAAACGCGAAAAGTACTCCTACATGGTGATGACATTGTTTGGGCCGTCGCTGTCACATATTATGAAGAAGAAAGTGAAAGGACCACTGAGCGTGTCGAGCACCATTAGAGTGGGGATTCAACTTCTTTATTGCATCAAAACACTTCATGATGTGGGTATTGTTTGATAGATCATGATTTAGGTGTTTTTTGATAGGTATAACTCTTTGAATTTAAAAAAAAATTTATTTAATAAAGCTTAAAAATTTTTTTTAGGCTGGCTACATCCACCGTGATATAAAACCGGCTAATTTGGCTATAGGTCGTCATTTCCCCATGTCCAGGTTCATCTACATGTTGGACTTTGGGTTGTCGCGACAATATGTACTGACTGAGAATGGAAAGACTTTAATGCGACGACCAAGACAAGATACTCTGTTTCGTGGTACTGTAAAGTACTGCTCGATTAGTACTCATGAAAGGAACGAACAAGGGAGGCCGGATGATTTATGGTCTTTAGTCTATTTACTGGTCGAACTTCGAGGGACGCTACCATGGGAGAAACTATCGTACGTTGGGTTTTTGATAAATACTTATGTTTATATATAGGCACATCTATGGGTTTGGCTAGAAGTAAAGAACCAGAGTGACTTAAAACAATATAAAATAAGATTTCAGTGATAAGCATGCGACGAAAGCCGCCAAGAAGAAGATCACTGACGCTGAATTATTGAAGAACTGTCCTGTACAAATGCTTGAGGTTGTAGCACATTTACGGTAAGTTTATTATATACGTTATAGTTTTAAAACGAAGTGTCACTTTTTCATTTTGAAAAAAATGTAAAGTCTTTTGTAACTTATCAAAATGACTCCTAAAATTGTCGTAAAATCTAAAATATTTTGAGATTGTCTTTGAACTTTAAATTTAAAGTCATTTTAAAATTTTTTTTCAGAACACTGACATACTTTATTAGGCCTGACTATTGCTTGATATACAAACTGTTTATGGACGTAATGAAAGAAGGCAACTTTAAGTTCACAGATCCATACGATTGGGAAAAGGTTGTGTCGAGTAAGAAGACACGCAAGGAATCAGAATCCACGTCTCTGACGATTCTCAAACAAAAATTGGATCCAGCCAAGTCTCCCAACTTCACAGACGAAGATTTCAAGAGCAACGATCTGGGATTCTGAATAAACTTTTTGACCGGGGGTTTGAAATTTATTGTTTTAATGTTATACATTGTTTACTTGATGTGATGGGGTGTAAAGAAAGCGGGAGTAAAGTAAGGTAGGATAATTTAGGAAGGTTCTTAGGACAAAACAAGGTAAGGCATGGCAGAGTAGAATTCATTTGTTATTTTACCTTTGTTATTTGTATGTTTGTATAAGATATACTATTTTTGGAACCAGTTACTCTTATTACGTATTATTTATTGTGTTATACGTTGTTAAATACAATTGAAACCTTATTAATAAAGTAAGAGATTATATTACAAACTGGAAAACGTTTTATATTGTTGAACTCATCTACATGTATTTGGTTTTTATTCTTTGATGTGAAGGATCCACCGTTCGCACTCACCCAAAAATATCTTTGGATAGAATGGGATGGCATCTACATTTGTGTGTGGCATGAGGGGATGTTGAAGTCCAGATCGAACCGAGTCTGAACTGCTAGCTCTTGAACAGTCGTCGACTGATGAGGTCGGACGGTTGGAGAAGCGGTGGCTAGGTTTTCTTGTAAGGCGGGCGTTGAGCAGTCGTCGAGCGGCTCTGGTACGTCTAGTCTGCTTGCCGCAGTAGAAAAGAGGGCTGCACGTAGACCCAGGGCTGTACATTGGGTACCTTTGAAGTGCGTAAAAGCGTTCGTGGGCTGGATTGGAGGCTGAGATTTCAGCTAAATGGGCCAATAGGTATTGGCATGGTTGTTGAGATACTACTCCAGAGTTGATGGTGTTCATTTTAATTTGTAAGTTAAAACTTTAAAAATTTGGTTGAGAGCAACTGAAATTGATAGAATTGTTATATCGTTAATAATGTACAAAGTTTATACATATTATAATAATAAAGTTGGAAAATATTAAAAGGTAATTGTTATACAAAGCTTTAGACAAGACACTATATTAATAGAGAAATTTTTCATGTAAAATTTGAAAGAAAAAATGTATTAACTTACAAGTTTGATGATGTTGAACTTAATGAAGAATATGCCGATTTCTTGTGTATTTATATGTTTTTCAATCGGCAGAAATATGTGTATCTGTATCAACGCGCAATACTTAAGGCACATAATTTTTTACTTTAGGTAATGTGGTATCTCCGAGATCGGCTCGAGGCCTCATGACGTAAATCCGTATTTAAAGTTTTTTGATATTAGACTTCGGACTTATATAGTTGCATAACCGAGTTTTGAATACGATAGACGTTTTCACTGCATTTTGCAATTTGATACGTTTGATTTTAAAATTTAGTGCAATTATTAATCTTTCTGACTCGATCAACTGTTCTGTTGTTTGTAACATCAGTTTTGTATCAAGGATTTTACTCATAGCAACGTTGAGGGCAGATTGATGATTTTAAAATACGACGAGGACGAAGTAGTTTAATTGTAAATGTAAACGTAGCGGCAGATTTTTGTAAACTTACTTTTGACTTAGATGACAGTTTAAGTTTAGCTTTACATATAAATGTAGCTTTTAGGTATTCAAACTCTGTTAGGTATGTTTTGCAGTTTAAAAGCTTTGCGGTGATTCTCGCTAAGTCTTCTTTTCCAAAGATTCATAAGAAATTACGAGACTTATGATTTTTAAAATTTTAAAGCCATTTTATATGCTTTTTTACCAAAAATTTTTAAAAATTAACCAACTTTATAATGTTAGTTGTTAGAATTCATTGTATTGAAGGTAGAAAACGTGCAAATTAAACCAAAAGCCCATGTCAAAGTTATTTACCCATTTGAAGTAAATATTGTTTTTTGCCAATGACCTTGAGGTTGTGAAACTTCTCATAACTTTTTGAAAATGTATTACTGTTTTAAGAAGGCTGTAAACAAGCAATTTCGGTCAATGTATTATAAAACTAATTTTGTCAATGACGAGTTGATGTAGATTTAAATATTTAGTTTTTCAAATTAAAATTTTTAAATGTATTCTACCGTATTTTACAAAAGTGAAAAATATGAAAAAATTTGTGTTTGTTCAAAATGACACTTTTTCTCTAGAAAAAGAAAAATGAGAAAAAGTGATTATGAAAAACTTAGTATTACCTATTTTAAGTAATTTACCACGCCGTTTTGTTTAAAAAATCATGTAATTTAAAACTTTTCAATGTAAAACTAATTTTGTCAATGATATGAGGTGATGTCAATTTAAATATTTGGTTTTTAAACTTGAAAATGCATTGTACCGTATTTTACTAAAATGAACAATAGGCCAAAATTTTTGTTTGTTCAAAATGATACTTTTTTACCATAAAAATAAAAATGAGAAAAAGTCATTATGAAAAACTTAGTATTACCTATTTTAAGTAATTTACCACGCCTTTTTTGTTTAAAAAATCAGTTTTTGATCAACAAAAATAATTTTTACGAAACAAAAAGCTCAACTTCAAATTTTACTATTTGAACTGAAGTATCAAGCCTATCTTTCTAGGTCAAGATGTTCTTTCGAATTTCAAAAACTCCTTTACATCAAGGCCAATTTCAATCCAAAATTTAAAATATTTTTGTAATATTCAACTCCCAAATTGTAAGAATAAGTTTATTGCTTACTAAATACAATTATTATTACACACTACTCATGATGATACGAGTGTCCATGCCAAAACTTAAGAGATCACGATTTTCTCGCAGAGTCCGTTCAAAGCCCCGATTCCAGATTGCTGGGCGCAGTGACACAATTGTTGGACAGATTGGGTGTTGAAGCCGGACTGGATGGCACATTGCTTGGCTTGTTGGACCAATTGAGAGTCGGATGGCAGCTTCAATCCGCAGCCCAACTTCTTGGCACATTGGCCGGACTTCTTGTCCATGCAGGTCTTCATACATCCGTACAACTTCTTGCCTTGCGACAACAATCCCTTGGCTTGGGAAGCGATGCCGGCACGAGACAGCATTCTGTTGATCTCGCTCATGGCGGCGATCTTCAGGGTTTCTGGGTAACGTTTGGGCACCATTTGGCCTGGAGAGGCTGCACAAGCGTCGCGGAGGTTGCCTTCGGTACATGACATGGCCGCGCGAAGCATAGGCTCTTTTTGCATCAAGCATTGGCGGAGTTGTTGGTAGTTGGCTCCGAGGGCGGCGGCGTGTTCCTATAAAGGGTAAGGATGAGATTTTATTTAAAAATTCGAAAGTTATTGCATGTGTGTTTTCAAAATGGCAGTTATGACTAAAATTAGACAAAATTGTAAGAATCACCATTTTTTTAGGGTTTCGAAAAAAATGTCATAAATCAGCTGTTTTAAAAGCTCAAGGAGTAAAATTCATTAAAAATAAAGCTTATCATTGTCTAAATTATGTCTCAAAATTTTAAATTTTAAAACGAAAAGTACAGCTGTAATGAAATTTGAAAAACTTACTTGACAAGAGTCAGCGCAAGGAATGACCGAGTCTACGTAGCCCTTTTTACATGGCTCAACCTCAGAACATGTACATTGTTTGACCATTTGGGCTTGGGACAGACCAAAGGCGACAGCCAAGATAATCAGCGACTTGGTCAACATTTTCTGAAATTTTAAAATTGTTGTTGGTTTTCTTGAAGTTATCATTATATCGCGACAAAAAATAAAATTAGGTGATTTTTTAAAAAAATTGTTACCTAAAAACAATTCTTATTTAATTTATTTGTAAAATACGGTCCCGGAATCCATGACGATTTTTACCACAAAAGTTAATACGCCTAAAAATTTTTAAATTCGCCCAAATCAAAGCCAAAGCAACCTACTACAACTTACAGCTGTAAACTTTAGAAAATAAGCGAGTTATGACGATTTTTGTGAAAATTGAAGGCTTTTTAAGGCCTGAAGGCGGCCTCTGTTTTCTTCAGGGTACCCGCCCCATCATCGTCACCTTCCGTCGCGAAAGGCGGGCGGTCAACATACGAACGCAAAAAACATAACACAACATGCAGCGACAAACAAAAACAATAAGTTGGCTAATTCCTGCTTCCGGACCAAACTCGGACAATACGCCATTAATTATTTTAAAGTTATGAGGTCAGCTTCAGACGGTGGTTAGTTGTAAAATACGAAGATTAAAAGTTTTGTGCTACTGCTTTTTTTAGGTAATTTAAATATTTTTGGAGTTGAAGTTGTAAAATACGATCGAAAAATCGTTCGCTTTTAGTAAAAAATCTTATAATTTTAAAAATTTCTTTTGTGATTTTAAAAGACCAACATTTTAGGTTGCTCAAATAATTATTTGCCCCGCAACACGGAAATTTGCTTTGAGGGAGCACAGAATTTTTGAAATACTAGTAGTTTTCTAAAAAATATTTTTTGAGGTTTCTAGTGCATTCCCTATGTCAATAAGCTTATAGCCTAAATAAAAATGCATTTTTATACTTATTTTTAATTTATAAATTCCGATACTTTTGCACAGTGCACAAAATTCCAACCATGAGGTTGTACTTTGACATTGATTGCTGACAACAACACATTGCTCGCTTACTTTCCGTTTCTTTCTTTCTAAGCTCATCACAATAAGAGAAATGGTTTTGGAAGAAACAGTTCTGTAGCAATCAAAGATCACGGTAAACAACAACAAGTATAAAACAGTTTTGACGATGATGTATGTCATGTTGACTAACTATGCTTAAGAAAAATTTTCATTGTTATAGAATTACACTTGTCGAGGAGAGCAGATTTCATAGATATTGATGTTTACTATCTTGTTATAGTAAATAAAAGATAAATTATGGTTAATTTAGGGTGAAAATCAAAAATCAACAAAATTTTTTTGACTTTTTTAGGACTTCAGACTTAATTTCTGGTTTTAATATTGTGTTATGAGGATGCTAAGATTCTTGGCTCAACTTTAAGGGCTAAGACATCTTTGTTTTCTTAAAATTTTATAAGTTACACTTCATTTTAAATAATGTAATGTAACTGTATTTGTGTAGAAAGCATACTTTTGAAATTGCCAAAACCTGTCGACAAAGTTTAAATTCTCCTTTCTCAACTTTATTTTTAAACTTTTCCGTTTTTAAACTTTTGAAAAAGATGCGATTTAAATATTTTTAAAGTGAAAAAATAAAAAACGGCGACGAAAAACGTGAACCTGAACGCTGAAAGTTAAACCGTATAAAATGTATATTTAAGGTGTCAACAACTACTTGAAATTGAATAAAAATTATACTTTTTAATACGCTTTTAATCTCTACAGTACACAACATAGTATAAAAAAGTGTACAGTAGTATGTAATTGCTACTTTTTGTTGGCTGAACGTGTGTTTTGTAGTAAATTATAACTTTTTTTTGAATCGAGAGGTCTTTTTGAGTCATTCGTTCGCCAAAAAACCCCTGGAAACAAGTTGAAAGGTCATAAAAATCAATTTTTTATAACACTTTTAAACTTACAACTGTCATTTTAGATTAGGTATAAAGAAATGTAACGGTAACGTACATTGAAGGTACGTTACTGCTGGTTTTTCTTTACTTTTTTAGATGTTACAATTGGTATACATTTTCAAGTAAACGCCTTTAAATAACATATTGATCTTTCTTGTATGCCATTTTTTATGCTCACCAAAAATTGCAAAACAGTAAAATCGTAAAAAGTATAAATTTTCGGTTCAGGTTTTAAAAGTTTCGCAATAAAAGTTTAGTTTATTGTTACTTTTTGATCAGTTAATGATCGCCAAACTTTGTTCTTTCTCTTCAAACTACAAGTAGTCAATGTTGTAAAGCCCCATGTGGTATGTTTTATTAATGGTGGAAACCATAAATGACGTAGATGTTAATGTTTGTGACAGCTGATGATCAAAAATGACATGGTACAATGTACATCTTGGTTAGAATACACCGATTTTGGGGAAATTTAAAAATATTTTAAGTTTAAAATTATTGCTTCTTTACCATAATATTTGTTTTGTCCATCCTCCGGTATGGATATGAATGTGTATCTACCCTAAATGTAAAACTGCACCCTTTAAAACTCATAAAACACCTACAAAAACATCAAATCTATAAGAGTACCAAGAAATTTTAAAATTTAAAACTTTTTAAAAGTTAAAACAAAATAACCATTTAATTACTATATACTTGACAACAGCTGCTTTCAACTTTAGAATTTGAAGTAAATACGGCCAAAAAGAGACCAAGTCATCAGGTAGGTCAAAACATTGACAAAACATTACCTCGATCATCTATGTTTTGATGCTAATACCTTATTTTTGAAAATGACAAAAGAAGTTGACAATATAAATCATTTGTTTTGAAAAATGATAGTTCATATAAAATTTTTAAAAAGCTATTTAAAAAAAAAGATGACAAAATATTTTGATGCCAAGCCAACACATCTCTACTGGAGACCTTAATTTACTTGCACTTGTACTGATCGCCAAGGACTTTAAAGTAGAAAAGCAAAAAAGTAGTGTTAATGATCTTGAACAACACATATTTTTGTTTGTTCACTGCTTTTTAATACCTATAATAAACTTTTAATTTGAGAAAAGAATGAATAAGTAACAACTTCTAGAAACATCGAACATCTTCTTCATTTACACTGTTTTTTACAAAAAGTAATCTTTTGAAAAAGAAACTTTGACATGCAACAAAGCGTAGAGAAAACATAGAAAATTAGCCAATGAAAATTAAAGAAAAACAAATATTTGTTAATTATGTTTATTACTTTTATACATATTTACATGTAATACCACTAAACCTTTTTTAACTAAAGCCAAATGTTGCCACATCCTCGGAACTTCTTGCCTTCACATGCAGATTCCACCGTTCGCATTCACCTAAAAAGATATTTGGATGGAACGGAACGGCGTCCACATTTGTGTGAGGCATCAATGGATGCTGTCGTCCAGACCGGCTTTGTACTGAATCTGGTGTACCACTTTCCCTCGAAGAATAGTCTGTAAGAGGCGACAACCGGTCGGATGGAAGGCTAGTATTAGCTTGTTTAAGCGCGGATGGAGAACAAGTACTGTAACTAGGGGTCGTTGAAGGAGTAGGCTGGGCAGTGTAGTACGATTGGTCATTACAATACATCTGATTGCTGTACTGAATTGACAGCTCATATTGGTAGTACTGGGCCCAATAAGTGTATGGATCTACCGAGAGGCCGCTAAGTTGTTGTTGATATTGTTGTTGTTGGTGTGCCTGTTGTTGTTCTTGCTGTATAACGGCACTGATTTGGTCGGCCAGGTACTGGAACTTTTCGTCTTCAGATTGAAAGACTGGCTTACTGTTGATGGCATCCATGTTTTTTATTTAAGATAAAACTGTAAAAATTGATAAATGAAAAAATACGAATCAATATATGAATAACATACAACAGCTATGTAAAATACGAAATAAATTAACGAAATCAAGAAGCTTTTTTAAATTTATTTTACTGTAAATACGGCATAATAAAAAAATCTCAAAATCTAAGAAAAACTTCGAAAACGTATTAAAAATTATAAAATACGGCTGAATGAGTACCATATACGACGATCCAGTACGTTGATTGGTATTTTGAATGAATTTCGCTATGATTGAGGGTCCATTTATAGTGAGTCTTCAATCGGTAGATATTGGACTAGCAGAGAATTTTGAAAGTCTTTAGTTTCCCTAACCCTTAAATTTCTTGAGGACAAACCTTTTGCATTGCGACATTACGTCACATACTCTAAAAAGTTCGTATGTCCGTTTATACGATATTTGTGTGTAAGGTCTTTTTTGTATAATTTATGCCGCATAAGCGTAATTATTTTTTACTATTGTAAATTTATTCAGTGAATCTTAACCGCACATTTTTTTCGAATTTTGAACTGATATCGTTTTGATTTTTTTAAATTGAATTTTTTTAGAATGTTATGTTAAGTCTAAGAATATACAAAAGAAGAAATTTAAAATTAAAACCTTATTTGTTTGTATTTTGGCCGTCGGATCGGTTATGATCTTATCAGTGGGCTGCGAAGCGACAAAAACAAACCAAGTTTTGTTATACTATCGCTATATTTTACGTTTCAGTTTATTTTTCTAAAAGCAACAAAACTTTTTACAATTTTTGTGATATCTTCACAATTTTTAAGTTAAAATTGTTTTATAAAATTTTCTTACTAATCAACATTAAAATATACTTTTTTACCTTTTACTTCGGTACTTTTAGTTCGCTTGGCAGGTTCTTGGACTATGATTTTGTACTTATTACTATTTTATACTGTAAGATTTGCTATGTAAAATTATATTATACATAGCCTGATCAAAAATTTGGTCTATATATTGGCGCCGACATAAAGAACCCGCCATTTTTTACAGGAAAAGTATGGCAGGTTCTTTATGTCGACACCTAATAAAAAATATGTTTTCTCACAGCCGGCTTTTTCATTACTTCTTTTTGTCTCGGTTTTTTACACACTTTTGCAAAAAGACGATTTGCATAAATTTTTATTTTTTCATTGGCATTTTTTATAGTTTTAAAGGCTTTTTAACTTTGTAGAAAAATACTTTGTAGTTCAGTTTTAAAGGTATAAAAATATATTTAGTATATACAAAACTTCTTTAACGTATTGTAGCTGTAATTGCAATTTTTTTTGGTAAAAGTAATGTATTATAAATCAAAGATAAACGATGTTTTATCGTTTCACACTGCAAATTTATTTACTTTACTTTACTTATGAACACAAAAACTTTTTATTATACATATATTAAGTTGTTCTAAAATTTTTTGCTCCCAACTCCAAGGATTTGCTTTGAGAGAAGACACAGGATTATTTTAACAACTTATATATAATATATTCTACTATGCAGCATAATGTAAAGCTCTCTACAAAAATATTTACGGCAATGTATCTCAAGACAGTAGCTACATATATATGTGTCTTATGACTTTCATAAATATTGTATTTGAGTTAATAAAAGGACGCATAACATATTACTCTACATTATCATATTCATTTCTCTCCCTTCCACCCTCAACGTTTAAGCGCCAGAGGTCGTATGAGATTAGGGTTTCAAGTGGACTTTTTCGTTATCATTGTAGTAAACAGAATTAGTAGTTACTGATATAATACTATGTGTTTTACATTCATAATAAGTTTGTTCTATCATTGAAGGAAGTTGAGTTTGAAGAGATTTTTACTTTGGTTTAAAATATGATTCAAGGCTTTAAATTGTACTACAATATAGAAGAAAGTGAGGTTTTAAACATTTGGACTGTTTGATTTTTAATTTTTAAGCTGATATCAGTTAGTGAATGATATTGAAGGCAGTAAATAGGGTTTGAAATCAAAAATGTAAAAAATTAAGATTGGCACTCAATAAAATTTAGGCCTAAACTCAAGGGGGTGTTACAATGTTGCTTACAATTATAAAAAAGTTTTACTTTAGACTAACAAAATATAGACCTATCGCGATAGGTCTTGATATATCGTAATGTATAATGAAAAGAGAAAGATAACTTGCTTTGAAAAAAACCAAAGAAAATAAGAAGAAAGTTGGCTCCCTTTGCTTTTGGGAAACCCAATCAAAAGACAAGAGAGCGTTTTATAACCTCAAGTTTGATGAGGAATACCTTCGATCACTTAGATCCTTTTCAAGGTAAACTTGAGTTCCAGACCATCGAAAGGTGTGTTTGGATTTGGACACTTTTTGGGATTGCCAGCGGGGTTTCTGTTGGCTTATATTTTTTAATTTTCATTAGCAAAAGGTTCAATCTTCAATTATAAATTTTAAAATTTCTCAACATGCAAATGATAAAAAAAAGTCGTGATAAGGTGCTCCTCAAGAATTCGGGCCGTAGTCGGAAGCCTGTGTAGGAAAAGCAGCCAATTTGGTTTTTCAGATTCTTATTATATTTTACCCTAGCATTGACAAGACTCTAAACTTGGCTTTAGACAGGCCATATTGTAGGCTGTTTTACTCTTTCTACTAATCTTTTGTTGAGCAAGGTGTTTTGCCATACTTTGTCCAACGTTTAAGATTGCTTTTAAGCCAGAGCTGGCTATTTTTAGACTTTTTTTTTATTTTGTACTATAATGTTGTACTAATTATTTTTTCTACAGTCTTTTGAAAATGAACTCCCAAAGGTTTACCTTTTGTAGCGGTATTACAGTCGTTTTTCAACAATTTTTACTGCTATTATATATATTATGGACCTATTGTCCACTATTCCGAAGATGAGCCTCCTCCCTCACAGTAGCCCGTTTAGCATTCGTTCTGTGACAGAAGGGCCGGGACAAAAGTTTGAAAGTAATACGAATAACTTTCCCTAAATAGCGGTCGCTTCGGGGGTCTTTTGAGGGCGTTTGGCTGTCCGACGTTCTCGCGGCCGTGTACAGTCTCTGCAGGCAGGGTGAGGGAGGATGGAGGGTGGGTTTAGGGCGCAGTGGAATTAAATAAATTTATTTAATAAAATGAGGGAAATTGATAAAATCCAGTCGGCCCCGGGGAAGGTGTTTGTCCGATTTTACAACCGGGCTAATCTCCGTTTTTCTAGGCCGCCGGCGAAACGATGGTACTGTTCAAGGGCTCAGAGCGGGCTAGTTGGGGGATGACCGTAGTTTTGTTGACCTCATGGTAATTTTTTTAATTTTATTGCGACAAAGGCTTATATTTATTGTGGTAATGGTTGTAATAGTCTCTATTAGTGATTAGAGGTTGGTAAGAGATTTTGTGTCATGTTGTCTAAATATGAATGAGCTAAAACTTTACTTTATGCAGTTTACAAGTAAAATATACATTTTGAAAAAAAAATTTTTTTTTGGACTTGGGCCTAATTCACAAGTCCGGCCCGCGTGCTGGGCTTAACTTTCTGGCTTGGCCCGTTTTAATTTTAGCTCAGGCCCTGCCCGTTTCTCGCCACTAATAACCCTAACGACCCAAATTAGTCGTTTTTTAAGCCCAACAACTCAATTTCGTTATCAAATCGAAATTTGATCAATAAATATCACGATTGTTTGTTCATCAAAAAAGCACTGATAACGCATGAGGGTGGATGTTTGGGTTTTTTAATTGATCAATCAGTCTGCTGTAATGTCCTGAAGGTATTATGAATTAACTTTTTTGTTTTTTCTTTTTTCAACTTGTAATTAGACTGTGATTATGTTAATCTGGCAGTAATTGAAGGCAGAGTAACTTTTGAGAGCTATCAAAGTGTGTTGTAGTATTTTGGCATTGGTGGGTTAAAGTGGCACTTTGGGAAGTAATTGGGAATTGAAAACTGTTTTGTGGTACTTTATGGGGCTGATATACTAATGTTAGAGTTTATCGCACCTTGTGATACAAACAAAAGTAAAATTCTGCTTTTTAGTGACAGTTTTCGAAAATTTTAAAGATTTTTTAGAAAGTTTTATACTCACAAGTACCACTAAATCGCAAGACAGTTTATCACTTACTTGCTACTACTCAAACATACAATTCTCAAGTACGTTTTCCTAGTATGCTCGTAGTTTGTTTTAACAAAACTAAACACCCCATTTGGCACTTATTTAATATTACAACTCTCACTTTTAAATAATAAAACAAAATGTGACAGGGGTTTGCAGCCGGCTGTAAGTTTAACCGTGTTTTAAAAGACTCAAGCGGGGGTGGGAGTCCGAAGGTCACAAGTAAGTGAGCGACGGTGTTTTAGAGATAAAGAGCTTTGGGTTATCCAAATTTGGAGCAAAGATCAAGGGTTTAAAATTAGTTAAAAAAATTTTGGCATAATTTAGAAATTTTGATTATCAGCACGATACTAAAGATAAGACCTCCATTAATATATATATAGCATTATGCCTTCATTAACAATATGTTTTATATAGTAATATACGTAAATTGTACCTTATTTTACCTATTTTTTATGCTTTGATTTAGCTTTTGACAGCGTGTATTAATAAAATCTTTGTTTACCCCGCCCGATCGTTGGAATTAGCTTTTTTGAATATTTTGAGCGCAGCTTTAGCTCTCGAAAAAAATATTTTACGTGAAATTTTATGCGATTTTTTAGTCCAAAACACTTGAACTTAAAAATTTTAACATGGGGTTTGCGAAAAAAATGACAAAAATTTTGTTTACAACAAGATTTTTAATGTTTTGGGTTCAAAAACTATGAGATGGGGTGGTGAAAGTGGACTTGATCTTATCATATGGACAGTTTAATATTGTTAAGGCCAATTTTGTTTAGAAGGATTGATTTTTGTTTGAAGATTGGTAGGGGAACTACGCTTGTTTTTTTTTCAAAAAAAAGTTCACGTAGGGGGGGGCTTTTTACTTCCTAAAATAATTAGGGGTGAGAA